TGAATAACAAAAGAATCATGGATTTTTTAAAAAATTATTTTTAGCTCATCTAAGAAATATGAGTAAACAACATTGGTTTAAACGTTGACAATATGCTATCTTCTTTTATTCATTAAATCCTCCTAGTATCTTTTACCTAATTCCCAATTATCATCAGCACCAGTCCTTGCTCTTAATGTCTTAGATGCAAAATGTAAGTAGTCTTTTGCTATACAGTCACTGTGGCTTACATACTAATTTTGGCATTGTCTATTAGCTCTATCTCTCCCTTACTATGCTCAGGTACTTCCCTAACTATCATGATAGGTCTAACTATCATTACTTTGTTTTACTTTTCTTCTCTTTCACTTCTTTTTAAATTGAACTTATTGGGGTGGCATTGGTTAATAAAATGATATAGGTCTCAGGTGTAAATTCTATAAAACAGCAACTGTATATTGTATTGTATTGTATGTTCACCACCCCAAGTCAAGTCTCCTAACTATCATTACTTTATATCTGAATAACTCCATCAGCTTCTCAGATAGTCTTCCTAAGGTGAGGTCTCTGTATACAGTATACAATAGAATAAATTTTCTTAAATTATACTTTTATTATATTACTCCTTTATAAAGACCTACAGATGTTTCTTAGTTCTTTAATAATATTAACAATACTATTATTTATTAAAGTGAATACTATGTCCCTGGCACTGTGCTAAATGCTTAATATATGTTAGATGATTTAATATTTCAAAAAGGACACTAAATATAATTATCCCCAATTTATAGATTAGGAAACTGAGACTCAGAAAGATTGCTGACTAATTTGCCAAAGGTCACACAGTTATTAATTGAGAAAGCTAAGATTCAAGCAGCACTTACAATAGTGCTTGGCACAGAGTGGTCATTCAATAAATATTTGTTAAATGAATTAATGAATAAGTGAAATACTATGCTATATTACATTGATATATTAATAATCTAATGAAAAATTTCATTTTTTAAAATTCAAGGCCCATATTTTGTAACTAACCAAAATAGCTGGTATACACTACCTTTCTAGTAAGTAATTGTTGAATAAAGTTAAATTAAAGGAATTGTTTGATATGGACCCAATTAATAAGCACATGATATAGAGAAAAAGTTTTACTATGGCTTTAATATAATCCACATTAATATTTATTTATCTTTCTCTTCACACTAGCTAAACTTATATTTATTTTTACCTTGAATCAGGTAAACCACAATTATTTAAATAAGTTAATTTTATTAACATCTAATTTAGTTTCAAAATACAAAAAGCTTCTATTAGTGGAAAATAATATTGCTCGTACACAAAATATTGTATGTGAACATGTTGGACATACACACCAAATTGCTTAGGGTGTATAGCTTCCTAAACAGTCTGAACAAAATTCCTTGGAGATAATGTTTTAAAATTTTAATATAGAACAAATGTCACTGTCTAGCAATTTAAAGATATAAGGGACTTCAGAGTTCAATTACAAATACAGAGTTGTTATTTGAAACAAAAATGTAGCTCTTGAGAACAATCAGTTCAGTTTTCTAACAGCAGTTATAGTATGTGGTCATAACCATTTTTCCCCCTTTTACAGAGGTCTCTAGGTACACATTTTTAATGTATCCTAGCAGTTTCCAGTTAATGTTTTATATTTTTGTAGCTATTATTTTCTGTTGAAAGAAAACTGGTAAAGGTTGAATCTAGAAAGGGAAAACAAAGGAAGAAGATCAATATTAACACTCTACAAATATTGACTTAGCAAAGTGACTTTGTTGTCTTTCTCTCATAGGAATTGATATTAAATGAATGATTTATGTATAAGAAACACCTATGAAAAGTATTTGTTAAAACAAAAAAATTGCTTGGTAAAGTAATTAGATAATATGTTCATCAAATTCAAAAATTGAAGAGTGAACATCTTCAAACTGAAGACTTTTTAATAATATTCTTATTCATCATTTTCACTTTAAAATATTAGAGCTGGTTTACAGGTAGAAATGCTGCAATCCTCAGAAAAGCCTCAAAAATTTATGTCACAAATTTACTGGTTCCCTGTAGACACCAAGTAGTTATTAATAAACTTTATGTCAATTTTTTTATAAAAACTCTTATCTATTATTTTAAAATACTATACCTTTATTGAGTTTGGCTCAGTTAACTTTGAGTTTCGGTTACTATTAGCCTCCATGGTAATTGTGAAAGAAACAGATATTTTGAACTTTCTGCTTGTTGCCAGTAAAGAACTCCTGGAATCACCTGCAACAGGTAATAGTTATTTGGTCTCCCAATATTAAAAGCTGTCAAGAGAAAGTTTGTTGTTAAATACAAAGTAGCATAAGCGTTCTATGTATTAATTTTGTTCTCTTTGTCCTTCCTATTGAAATAAAGTCAGAAGTTTTATATTTATCAAACTTTAAAGGTCCCTAATTTATGGGCTACTAACAAGATTCTTTATTTCAATATGTCATCTTTTAGCTTGAATTTTAGTTTTAATAAAATATAATGAGCACAGTCAAATCAAGTTCCATTATAAAATTTTACTTCAATAGATTTTTACAGCTAAGAGAGTCTAAAAATGATAGCTGACAAAAGTTGGATTCTCATTTGTTTTATCACTAATAAGTGAAGATGGAAGGAAAAATTTATCTGAATATAACCCTACATTCTTGATGAAAAAATTCTTAGTTTGTAGCAGCATTATTTACAATAACCAAGATCTGAAATCAGCCCAAGTGCCCATCAGAAGATGAGTGGATAAGAAAGCTGTGGTACATTTACACAATGGAATACCACACAGCCATAAAAGAAGGAACTCTTACCTTTTGCAACAGCATGAAGGACCTGGATAGTATTATGCTAAGTGAAATAAGCCAGTTAGAGAAAGACAAATACCATATGATCTCACTTATATGTGGAATGCAATGAACAAAATAAACTGGCCAACAAAATAGAACCAGAGGCATGGATACATGGAACAGATTGACAGATGTCAGGGGAGGGAACTGGATGAAAGAAGGTGAAGAGATTAGCCAAAGAACATACTATATCCATAACCCAGAGACACAGTCAACAGTGAGGTGATGGCCAGAGAGAAGGGGGGCCAGGGAGCAGCTAAAGAGGAGGGGAAGTGGGGACATCTGTAACAGTGTCAACAATAAAGTTTTTAAAAAAGTAAATACCTTTATTTGGGAATGTTTCCTGATCACTTTTTCTTATGATTCTAGGCGATGGTTTTGGTACTGGTGATGGGTCCCTTTCTGGGAACCCTTCAATGTGGCTTCCAAACTGTTGACGCCTCAGTTTGCTGTCAACCTCCAGTTTTTCTAGAGTAGTTTTGAGACACTGCTCATTGGTTGTCATATATAATTTACAAAACTGCAGGAAATAAGAAAGTAGTCCAGTTGCTAAAACAGTCAATCATACATTTGGGAGGAGAAAGCAAATGCACATTAGTAGGCAAGGAATAGACTGATAGATGGAATATGTTTCCTATTGAACGAGGGTACTCATTTTATTTTCTTGAGTCAGACTGACCACCCTCAAGTGACCTAGCGAAATGCAACCATGATTCATTGAGGAAGTCATACTCTGGGTGAAAATAAAATGTTACACAAAGAGAGGTGGTTTATTATTATTTTTTTATAACACATGTAGACTTGCATTTGTTCTAAGTAATTTTATGATTCTTCCACCCTAGAAAAGCATATACCTGAGGAGTCTCTGTTTTTGCATGGGTACATTGTGTGAGTGTGCATGCATTTTAACTTGGTTATATTATTTTAATGTAGTCATCAGATTACAATTGTGGGAACGGAGAGGTTAAATTTCAAGTATAATCAGTACACAATATACAAGTATGTTATTGCTAACATTTTAAAAATGTGCTCTTTTAATAACACTTCTACATAGTAAGCAAATTTACATCAATGTGAACTTATGTACCTTGATGTAGTCAAACTTGCCATCAGCATTTACATCGGCCAAATTTATTACAGCATTTACTTCTTCTTGAGTCATCTTCTCACCTTTCTGAAAAAACAATATTTATTTCAAAACAACACGACTATTACTTTGCTATGCATGGGGAGAGTGGAAATTCATTTTAATCTTTTCTATAAGTTTGACTACATGGTTTCCTTATAAATCTCAGAATGAGTACTATGTCAAGTAAGAATAAAACATATAAAATAAAATTTCACAATTTTATAAAATTTTGTAAATGTGTGCTGAATTTCAATATACTAAATTTGAACAATGTGTAACATAGATCTAGTAATAACTATTAAAATTACAATGATGATACTTTCTTACATTGTACCAAAAAAGAGAATCAACTCTGAATCCCATTAATACTTTGTTTCTCTTTTATTTATCACATATGAATCACTGATTTACAGAGTTCTGAGCAGGAAAAGAATTGCATGGAAACACAAGGGGATTGCAAAGTGGGCTCAATTTTACACTTTATCTTGTATTTACAAAGCACCTTTCATCCAGAAGGATCCTTGGGTACTTTATAAACAACACATATATGATTCATTTCACCTGCCAATGAAATCGTTATTTTTAATGTGGACTTTGGTTGCCAAAAGCAAATTCCCAAGTTTTTGCAAAATACGCATATTACAAAACTGTTTCACAGATCTTACCTTTGTTAGAAGTTTATAAAGGTCAGTGTGTAAAATAGAGCCATCATCATTTACATCTAATTGTTTAAATGATTTTAGCAATTCTGCTTTTGAAGTAGGTTTTTCCTTTCTTAAAATTATACAAAAATCATCAAAATTCAGTTTGGCAGTTTGAGGAGTCCAATATTTATCAATAGTCTTTTGGGATGGATTTCTTCCTGCATGCTGAAGAGCTGCCCAATAAAACAAGTATTATTTTTAAAGTAACATTTGGAATTGATACTTAAGTACATTTTTTCTTTAAATCATTATATACTAGAGGCCCGATGCATAAAATTCGTGCAAGGGTAGGCCTTCACAGCCCTGGCTGTCTTGGCCCTCGCAGCCCTGGCTGTCTTGGCCCTCGCAGCTCCGCCTCTCTGCCCACTGGTCATTCTGGAAGGTCATTCAGCTGTTGGGTCTAATTAGCATATTAGATCTTTATTATATAGGATTACAATATTATATAAAAGTACACAAATACAAATATATTACCTTTGATTTTGCTAATATATAGTTGTGAGTATGTGAAATAGTTTATTCTTGTACTATTATTTATTAATTACTGTATTATTTTCTATATGAATAACCTACTTTTGCTCCAACATATATATAAATATATATGTATAAGTATATATATATCCAACTAAAGATTATTGATTTATTAATGCCAGAATTAAATAGATTTTTCCTATTCTGCCAGGTTTTTCTCAACCTACATGGTTCAATTTCCTTATTTATTTCATAACAGTGCTTGGAGAAAATAAAAGATTAAAAAACAACCATCTACTTGATTGTTTTGAGGACATAGAATAACCATAAAATCATAAATTATTACTTTTTCTGGTTCAACAAATATCTTAATGGAATAAAGAAATAATTAGTTTGAAAATAGTACTGTCACCAAGGCATGAGATCTAAAATGTTCGTCATTGCTAGATATTATAATTTCAAGAACATCATGCCCCAAATGTCAAATATAGGCACAAAAAATATCTAGTTACAGCTATAGCCCTACTAAAAATCAAGAATGTCAACAAACTTAAGGGAAGACTATTGTAGAGCTACAATGGTCAAACCACTTTTTATTTTTATCCAGAACATTTGAAGATAATCCTATAGCCAGGCCAGTGTGGCTCAGTGCTTGAGTGTTGACTCATGCACCCAGAGGTCACTATTGTGAATCCATTATATTGAACTTTCACTGTGCACAGGCATAACAGTGTGATTTTTTTATTTTCCAGAGATACACGCTTCTTGGCTCCTAAGTTTTATAATTTCAATAGAAAGTGCACACCTGAAGTGTAAAATTGCTACCTGTGGTCATGATGTATAGTTAATAATATATTAGAAGTCCATAGACCAAGAGAAATGTTCCCATCCTCCAGATTGTACTAGTGCATCATTTTAGACAAAACTTTGGCACAGAAACAGAAACAAGTTCATCATCTAGAGGTGCCTTTCAGAGCTACAAAAGGTGTAGCTGTAGTAATTGACATCTTCTGTTCACCTAGAAAGCCTTTGTGGAAATTTGTAACAATGGAGATAATATAACTTTTTTTTATTTCCACAGGTTTATTCTGGATGTAGACAAAAATACTGATTACCATGCTGACCTAGGAATAAAGAGCAGTATTTTGCCTAGTTTATAAATGGACAATTCCTTAATTCATCTATCAAGAAGATAAAGATAAATGTTTTAGTACTCCATCCCCAGCCAACCTTTACCCTTTAATACAAGCACATCAAACTCGCTGCCCACAGGCCACATGCGGCCCTATACGAATATTTATGCGGGCCAGCCAATATGATGGCATGTAAGAAACGTTTTAATAAAAATTTTGAAACTTAATTTTTACAATACCCTGTTATAATTTTTGTGGCCCAGCCAATATAACGGTATCTAAGAAACATTTTAATAAAAATTTCATACCTTAATTTTCACACTATCCTGTTATACATAATTATTAATAACAAACTACAGTGTTCGCTAGTAACTGATTACTATAATCATGTTTCATTCATTTCCCTTACAAGCCTTATGCACAGACGCACCATTTCTCTCCACTAATACTAGCAGCGAATATTTTAGCAGCTGATGGCCACATCATTAGTCTTGGACTGACTTGTTTGGTGTACACAACAGGAAATACTTCGCTTTTAGAGAACAAGAAAAATAGGTTTATTTGCATGGCGCTTATTAATTTTGTGCAGTTATTCAGTGTCTAGCAAGGTAATGTTCAAGAAAAAATATTAATTTTTATGTTAGCCTTTGAGTTTGACATGCTTGCTTTAAAAGTTGGGAATACACTCTAGCTGGTTTGCTCAGTGGATAGAGCTTTAGCCTGTGGACTGAAGGGTCCCAGATTTGATTACAGACAAGGGCACATGCCTGGGTTGTGGGCTCGATCCTCAGTAGGAAGCCTGCAAGAGGCAGTCTATCAGTGATTCTTTCTCATCATTGATGTTTCTATCTCTCTCTCCCTCTCCCTTTCTCTCTGAAATCAATAAAAATATATTTAAATAAATAAATGCTGGGAATACAAGTAGAACCCCAGTGAAGTTATTTGAAGTCAAAAGTCCATGTAAAGAAATGGTATTTCGCCGAAACCGGTTTGGCTCAGTGGATAGAGAGTCGGCTTGCGGACTGAAAGGTCCCAGGTTCGATTCCGGTCAAGGGCATGTACCTGGGTTGCGGGCACATCCCCAGTGGGAGATGTGCAGGAGGCAGCTGATCGATGCTCCTCTCTCATCGATGTTTCTAACTCTCTATCTCTCTCCCTTCCTCTCTGTAAAAAATCAATAAAATATATTAAAAAAAAAAGAAATGGTATTTCGTCCAGCTTTGAAACCTCTTTCCCACAAGCATATGCTTGTTGCTATCTTCAATAACAAAATATTTTAAAAGATACTGTTACTTACAGAACAATTTTTCTCAGAATAAAACTCATTATGCCCAAAACATGTACTCAGTAAGTTAAGAAACAGGTATAATTTAGTAACTTCTAACCTAATTTTAATCAGGTTACACACCACTTTTTTAAAATCTAGATTATGTGAAATCAGTCATTACAATGTTACAAAGAGTATTCCACCATAAAACCAAAAGTGTGTATAATACTGAAGTGACAAAAACTGCATTATTATCCTCCCAGGTAATTCTATAAGACTGACAGCACCTTAGTAATACCTATTTATTGATCAACAAACTAAATGCCATGTAGCAGAAGGCATGTTAAACTTTTAAACTTTTGTGATCTCAGCCTATTTTCAAATAAAGAGAAAAAAACTAAAACTATAATTTACAGTAAAACATAAACTATGTTATATTCCACAAAATGGATTTCCTCAAATAGAGATCTTACAGCATACAAACACAAGACATTGCAAAAATATGTCAGATTTTTTATTAAAGGAAACTGCCTCTAAATTTGTCAAAATAACTCAGTTTCTCTACTCAGAAAGTTATTAGCCTTGATGAAAATAACTTGTGTATTCAGTGTTGTTGTATGCCACTCTCTTAAGTCTAAAGACCTCCAAATTATTTGATTCAGCTAGTAAGAACCAATTCCTTGTTTGAGGGGATATTTGCAACCAGAGGAATTCAAAATACAAAGGAGAGAAGCAAAAAAAGACCAACCCTCCACCCACACACAAGACCAAGCCAACCCAAACCCAGAACTCTTAATTCTCTTAAAATTTCGGTTATTGCCCTGGCTGGTTAAGCTCAGTGGATAGAGCGTCTGCCTGCAGACTGAAGGGTCCCGGGTTTGATTCCGGTCAAGGGCATGTGCCTTGGTTGCTGGCACGTCCCCAGTGGGGGGTGAGCAGGAGGCAGCTGATCGATGTTTCTCTCATCGATATTTTTAACTCTCTATGCCTCTCCCTTCCTCTCTGTAAAAAATCAATAAAACATATATTTTTTAAAAATTCAGTTATCTACACTAATAATAGACAAATATGTAAATTGGTCATACCTTCACAACACCACAAGTCAATCAGGAGTATGCAAATTAACCCAACAAAGATGGCAGGCCTGTGGGCAGCAAGTGGCCAGGGGCTAGGGGGGTGGGGCGCCATGGCGATAACGCAGGTGTTCTGCACCGCCCCAGCTGCTCCGGGCCTCTGGCAGCGTGGGAAGGCGGAAAGGCAGCTCTGGGCCAGAGTGAAGGCAGAAGGGCAGCTCCGAGCTGGAGTGAAGTCAGAAAGGAGGCTCTAGCCGAAACGAAGGTGGTGCCGGCAGCCAGGGGAAGGAAGACCCATTCTTGCACAAATCTTCGTGCATTGGGCCTCTAGTCTATATATATAAAAGCTGAAGCAACTGTTAGAACCAGACAACTGGCTGGTAGCTATGACGTGAACTGACCACCAGGGTAGCTATGACGCGCACTGACCACCCTCAACACAAGAGCTGCCCTCTATGGTCAGTGCACTCCCACAGCCAACCTCCTGTGGTCCCTCCCCCAGCCGGCCGGACCTGATCAGCCCCAATCGCCGGACAGGCGGAGAGACCCCACCCGTGCACAAATTTGTACACCAGGCCTCTAGTTTCCTAATACTTTTCTTTTATAGCTATTCATCCCATTTTTATATATCCTTTACATTTTCCTTAATATAGGTCAAATTCAGAGTAGCTAATCAGATGCCAAAAGTGTTTCAATTCTATTGTAAACCTTTCTGTACCAAAATGAGAATTTTAAAAAATTTGAAAGCAAGTAATTGACAGGTTTAAAAGTACAATTCTATCCTGCATAAACATTGAAAGTTTTATTTTGAAGATCCTACAATATGTAACTATATAAAATAGCATGATAGCATAATGTAGTAGTTCCATTGCTCAAACAACTAAAATGGGGATGATTTGACAACATAATTCTAATTCCAGTCTTTCTGATTTAATTAACTTTCAACAAATAAGGCAAAATACTTTTTTTTTTACCTAAGTAAAGTTGATCTTTAGAAATAATGTTTTCTAAGCTGCTTTTGAAAACAGTTAAGTAGGCAGCTCTACAGTTCATATAAAATATCTCCTCTTCAGTTAGTGGATATTTCTTTGTTCGAGGACTCTCGGAAAGCGATGATTTCTGACTGGAGAAGGCTGCATCACCTCCTGGACTGATGGCCATTCTACTAAAAAATAATTTTAAAAACTGGATTAGTAAATGTTAATCCCCTAAAGTGCAAATGTCATCTTGCCTTTCAAATGGGAGTGGGAGGATCAAGACATTAAAGTTTTTAGTTGGGGCGGGGGTGGGGGGAGATGAACATTATAATATGCATAAGGTTGTATTACCAGGTAAACTAGAAAAGTTTCTGCTTTATTAATATATATGTATACACCAAAGAACAAAACCAAAACAAAGATGTAACAAATACAAAGAAGAATCATAGGAAAGGAAAAACTTACATCTATTCTCTCAAAATAACAGAACAGTCAGTTAGGACTCTTCATAAGATTGTCATGAGGATTAAATACTAGTAAGTTAATATATGTGAAGCATCCAGAACAGTGCTTGGCACAAATTAAGTGCTAAAGAAGCTGTACATAGAGTGAAACTCCACAGTAACAAGAACGTGGATGTAATGTGATTGGCAGTTGGCATCCATCTCCGCAGCAGGATCAAGCAGGTCATTTCACTAACCTTTCAATAAGGCAGCCCCACATTTTACATGACTGGTTTTTAAAAATCCCATTTATAGTGTCATCATGAGATTTTACTGTGTTCCATTACTAACAAAAATGTTTGGGGTTTATATAACACCTCTGCTCATAAGAGCTTAAAAAACTGTCATACATCATGATGTATCCCTACTACAGTGGTCAGGTATTTTTAGTCCATTTTACAGATGAGAAAATTGAGGGGCACAGAGTCGCCAACTGAACAGTAGGTAGCCAAAGTCAGTAAATTTCAGTAACCGTTGCTTCTTTATTAACGTGCATGAGGCTTCTTGTACAATAGTTACAATGAGGCACTAAATCGTGCTGGCCGTCTAACAGCTTCCAACATTATTTTACCCAACTTTGACTTTAAAAAATACATTCCAGCCTAATAAATTGAATATTTCAAGTTCAACAATAAGACGACACAGGTAGGGTCCCCTTCAGGACTCATTGGATTCTTACTCAAGAGGCCTAAATCACTTGCACCTTCTTGAATTATATGGGTCTTTTACACTTGGGAAAGAAAGATAATAATCGCTTATCATGGATGAAGTACCCTATTTATAATACACAGACCGCCTGCCTGACACTTTCCTATTACACCAGATTTAGAAGGACCCCATAGGGATGTGGTGTCACAGTCTGGTTACTGCAAATTGGTATCACGATAATTAAGCATCAGAGTTTTAAACACATATGCGTCCACGCATCTCCTCCAAAAAAATGGGAAAGAAAACCGTTCCAACGAGGAAGAGAGGACGTGCATTTTGCAGCAAGCAATTTTTAAATGTGATGGGTTTTATTTATTTATTTATTTATTTGGATTGTCTTCGAGTACTCTTTCCAAATAAGGTGCCTCCCTCCCGTGGGAATCCCCCGGCAGAAATGTTCCAGAATTCTATTCTTTCCCTTTCTGTGAGGGGAGCCGAAACTAGGCTTAAATAAATATATAACTGGACCCCCTCAGGCTTGGAAACCTCCTTCATTTAAAACTCCAGCCCGAGCGCCAGGCAGGGGCCTAGAGAGCACATTGCAGCAAACGGCTCCATCAATAACCAGCCACACGGTAGCGAGAAAAATAAACGAACAAGCGCCTCGGGCTTTTCCAGGGCCGAGTGGAAACAGAGCGCCAGCCACACCGTCCCCACGCGGAGAAACATGTGCACACAGCTGATCCCGGCAGCATCGCTGTCTTTCTGTATTTCTCAGAGCATGAGCCTGCATTTATGTGTGCATTTCAGGTCCCGCCTTGCACCCGGTGTTAGTATGACAGAGAAGGTAACGAAGCGGGTGGGAGGAAAGCCGAGCAGTAAGGGACACGACGCGCAGAGAGAGACCGCGGCTTGATCGCTACCTAATTGCAGTTTACAGACGAACGGGCGCAGCCAATTCTCTGCACGGATTCCACGATCCGCTCACCGAAGCCGGACGGACCTCGGCCTTTCTCTAATTACCATGGCAACTACACCTCCCTGCCACCGGAAATCAGATACAGCGCACCTCCCAAAAAGGTCCGGCTAGGAATCTAGGGATCGTTAATCCACAGTGGTCAGAGACGGTCCTGTGGCTCCTCCATCCGCGGCTGGTTTGGCCAGCATCGTGAGCGAGGGTCCTTCCTAGGCTGCACTGCAACGGGCTGGATGCGGTCTCTGACCGACACCCCCTCCTCCTTTCCCCGCAGGAACTCGGATGCGTTGTCGCGGGTCTGTGTTTCCGGCGGGCTACATTGAGTGTGACACCTCGTCGACGCCAGCTCGCCCGCGCTTTTCAGGCTCCGCGTTTGCTCCGGGAGGTTCTGTCTGCGAGGAGGCTGCTCGCTTAGTTTGATCCAGCGGCAGTGGTCCTTCCCTCAGTGTGGGAATGCCGTAGGTATCTCCGTCCAGGCATTGCTGTTTGTCGGGCCCCTCTGCGAGCCTGGAGAGTTTGTTGTTTTTTAAAATAACCTTTTGTGTTTTTCTACTTTTCTGAGTATAAACTTGTCTCCTCCGCCGACAGTTCCTGGTGCTTACCCACTTGATACCCTCAACCCACCTCTGCCCACCTTCCAGCCGCAGTTAGGTGGTAGTCTTGGCCCACGTTACTCCTGACTCCACGGCCTTTGACTGGGTTTATAGGCTGTGGGCGGTAGCCTGTGATGTATTTTAGTGCGTGAAGTAATCCCAGATATGGTCAACATACCAGGAATGGGATGGAGTCGATTGGAACACGCCAGGTCATTTGACGATGCCCATGAGTGTGGTGAGTTCCCTATAGGGCAGCTCAAGAACTGGGTCTGAGGGACTCTTTCCGCCTCCCCACATGGGAGTCTGTGCTGTGAGATTCTTTCCCCTCCCCACGTGGGAGTCTGTACTTGTTCTTCAATAAATTTCCACCTTTGCTATGCAACAGAAAAGAACTGGGTCTCAAAAGACCTGCATTCCAGCTATGACAGGGGAAGCGCAGCCAATTCTGGCGTCAGTTTCCTTATTGCTGCTGTATAGAAACTGTTAAAAAGTTCAGGAAATAAGTTTTTCTTTGGGGTGAAGGGATTACTATCTAACACGTGAAATTTTCTGGCAGTCCTTGTCCCAGGTTGACTTAGATACCCCCTCCTGTGCATTTCTGAAGTAACTTACTTATTCCACTATTTTTTTTTATTTTTTTATTTTTATTTTTAGATTTGAGCCAAATGCAAAGCAACACAGAGGGGGAAATATTTGTATTAAATAAGAATTGACATGAAAGTGGAAAGATGTAAAGAAATAATAATTTGTCTCAGTGGATAGAGCGTTGGCCTGCAGACCTAAGGGTCCTGGTTCAATTCTGGTCAGGGGCACATACCTCGGTTGTAGGTTCCTCCTCCCCCTCCCCTTAGTGCCCCAGGAGAGAACCAATCTCACATGGATGTTTATCTCTGTCTTTCCCCCTCTCTTCCAATCTCTCTAAAAACCAATGGAAAAATATCCTCAGGTGAGGATTTAAAACAAAAGAATAACCTACATTTATTGAATCCTTGTGATCTGGTACAGTTTTAACAATCTACCTACATATTCTCATTAAATCCTAAAAAAGGACTTTAGGAGGTACTATTATCTATAATTTCCAGATAAGAAATAAGAGGTACTGTTGTCTATAATTTCCAGATAAGAAAACTCAGCACTTAATATGGTGTCCTACACAATATAAATAAATGTGTTTCACTTATATCCTTTTTTAAAAAGTACATTTTTATTGATTTCAAAGAGGAAGGGAGAGGGGGAGAGAGAAAGAAACAATAATGAGAGAGAATCATTGATTGGCTGCCTCCTGCACCCCCACACTGGGGATACAGCTTGAGGTGACCTCCTGGATCATAGGTCTATGCTCAACCATTGAGCCATGCCTGCCGGGCCAATTATATCCTTAAAAGTTAGGATTATTGAAAAGGTTTTGCTTTCCCCAGGATTAAGCAAGAAGACTTGTCTTCCTATTGCTGCACTTTAAAAAAATCCAGTTAGCACTTTTGTGAACCTTCAAGGATAATGTAGCAAAAGTCCTACTAAATAGGAATACAATGGAAACTGGTGTGCATTTGCTTAAAAGTGGTGATAACTATGACCCTGTTCTGTAAAGATAGTGGGGAACCAAAAAACTATTAAAAGTGGAACTTTTGGATAATTGTTTTCCTAGCATACTAACAGACACATGATATATTAGAAGACTCTGTGGTACAGATATTCTGGCAATAAATATGTAACCTTAAAGTTGAGGTTGACGTCATAGGACATACTAGTACATCTGACACAAATTTATTTTTAGAGTATACTAGTATAAATAAAGAATTCTTACAACTCAACAGTAAAAAGACAAAAACCTTATTAAAATAAAGGCTCAAAGACTTGAACCAATACCTAATAAAAAGGTTTATGGCCCTAACCGGTTTGGCTCAGTGGATAGAGCGTCTGCCTGTGGACTGAAGGGTCCCAGGTTTGATTCTGGTCAAGGGCATGTACCTTGGTTGTGGGCACATCCCCAGTAGGGAGTGTGCAGGAGGCAGCTGGTCAATGTTTCTCTCTCATCAATGTTTCTAACTCTCTATCCCTCTCCTTTCCTCTCTGTAAAAAAAATCAATAAAACATAGTTACTTTTTTTAAATAAAACTTTATTGTTCAGATTATTACAGTTCCTCTTTTCCCCCCATAGCTCCCCTCCATCCGGTTCCTACCCCACCCCCTATCCTTACCTTCCCCCCACTGTCCTCATCCATAGGTGTACGATTTTTGTCCAGTCTCTTCCCGCACCCCCAACACCCCTATGTCCCCGAGAATAGTCAGTCCACTCCCTTTCTATGCCCTGATTCTATTATATTCACTAGTTTATTCTGTTCATCAGAGTTTTTATTCATTTTATTTTTAGATTGGTAACTAACTGCTTTTCTCTTGCTGCTTTTAAGATTCTCTCGTTGTCTTTTTCCCTTGGCATTTTAATTATGATGTGTCTTGTTGTGGTCCTCTTTGGATTCCTTTTGTTTGGGGTTCTTTGCACTTCCTGGACTTGTAAGTCTACTTCTTTCACCAGGTAGGGGAAGTTTTCTGTCATTATTTCTTCAAATAGGTTTTCAATATCTTGGTCTCTCTCTTCTTCTGGCACCCCTATAATTCGGATGTCGATATGCTTGAAGTTGTCCCAGAGGCTCCTTGCACTATCTTCATATTTTTATAGTACTTTTTCCTTTCGCTTTTCCGGTTGGGTGTTTTTTGCTTCCTTGTATTTCAAATCTTTGACTTGATTCTTGGGATCCTCTAGTCTGCAATTGGATCTCTGTATAATATTCTTTATTTCAGTCAGTGTATGCTTAATTTATAATTGGTCCTTTTTCATATCCTTGAGGGTCTCACTATATTTCTCGGAGGTTTCTAGAAGATTCTTGAGTAACCTTATAACCGTGGTTTTGAACTCTGTATCCAGTAGTTTGCTTTCCTCCATTTCTTTCATTTTTGACCTGTTTCTTTGTCTCCACATTTTGGCAGCTTCCCTGTGTTAGAGTGGCTTTCTGTGTTAGGTGTCCTATAGGGCCCAATGACTCAACCTTCCTAATTACCTGAGGTGGACACTCTTGGTGCACCCCTTTGTGGGCTGTGTACACAGTCTTGTTGTAGTTAAGCCTTGATTGCTGTGGGTATCACTGGGAGGAATTGACCTCCAGACCAATTAGCTGTGAGGACCAGTTGTGTCTACAATTGGAGAATTTCTGTGCTGGAGACACCTTTATGGGGCAGGACTTGCTTCAGTGGGGCTTTGGCGCTCACTGAGTCTGCCCCCTGAGTGTGTCTCTTATGGATGTGAAGAGTTACAATCTGGATGGTCTCACTCTGACCACTGGATGTTGTAAATGTTTCCCTCCACGTCCCGCGTGGTTCAGGGTTCAGGATCTGGAAGAGGAGCCGCACACAAATGAAAGAAAAAAGACAAGAGATAATTTGGGAATATTGGGGGGCCAGGCAGGTAAGTCCAACTCAAGAGGAAGGACTTCCACCGGTGCTCAGGCCGCACCAACTATTTTATAGTCAGAGGTAAACAAGGTAGTGGTTACCATCACTTCTTGTGAAAGCTACTTGTGAAAGCTACTCAGCTGCCAGAGAGGTCCCGGGGTCTGTGTTCCGCGGCCCCATGCAGGAACAATGAATGCTGCAAGCACCTCTGCGAGAAAGCCGCCCTCATGTTCTGGCCCAATGCCAGACAGTCCAGTTTCTCTCTGTATGAGTCTGGGTCCCCATATTCTCGCCCAGAATTGGAGTTCACAGCAGACAGGAGCTTGTATCTCCCCCCCCCCCCCCCCGATTGAAAAAGACAACAGCGTACCCAGCTGCCAGCCCTTTTTGTACATGTCTCTGTACCTCCCCACTTCCACACCACTGCACCTCTTCCTGGGCTCAATGCACTTTTCTCTTTCCTTCTAGTTGTAGAATTTCCACTCAGCCAGCCTTCCCGTGGTTCTGGATGATATTAGTTTTGTCTTTTAGTTGTAATTTTAATGTGGTTGTGCAAGGCAGCAAGTTCAGGTGTTTACCTATGCTGCCATCTTGGTTGTCTCAATAAAATATATTTTTTAAAAAAAGGTTTATGATTTGCAAATAAGCATTTTGTTAGACATCAGGGAAATGAAAATTAAAACTACGTTGAACATCCAGTAGAATATTGTATATACATTTAATATTTTAAGAATACTAGGCGAATATTGAATCTTTTTTTAAAATTCTTTTTTATCCTAACCCAAGGATATGCTTATTTTTTTACTATAAAGAAGGAGAGAAAGAGAAACATGGATCAGATATCTCCAATACATGGAACCTGCAACCTAGGTAATGTGCTCTGGCCAGGAATCAAACCCTCAACCTTTTGGTGTACGGGATGATGCTCCAACCAACTTAGCCACCTGGGCCAGGGCTGACTATTAAATCTTGGTGAGTAGGTTTGTTTCATAGAGGTATGGGTTAGCACTTATGAAAATAGTTCCTGTGTCTTCTAGGCTTGAGCAAATAAATGTATTGAGGATCATGGGAGCTAGGTTTTCACTGTTGGATAGAGAAATTTAACATATTTTGGTATGCTCTTGGTTCTAACCACAGAACACACCAGCTAAGAGACTATAGATAAGACTGTTAATATGACATCCTTTAGG